AAAAAGTTCAAAAAAATGATAAAAAAATTAAGAAGATATTAATTTAGAAAAAAAAAAAGAAAAAGAAAAAGCAAGACAAACCATTTACAATAATTAATGTAAATATAATAATTTTAAATAAGAGAAAAGGGACTAAATTAATTAATTAATTAATTAAAGAGCTTGTATGATTTTTACATAGTCAGTACGAAAAAAAAAAGAAGCAATTTTACATTAATAATTTTATTATGCATTAAAAATATAATTATTAAAATAACTTTGCAATTTTACATTAATAATTTTATTATACATTAAAAATATAATTATTAAAATAACTTTATATAATTCTTAAAAGATATTTATATTATGATAAAAATAAACTACCTTATCTTTTGGACAAATAAAATAAAATAAAATGACCAAGAAGCAAAATACTAATTATACTGGAATAGTTTATTTTATAATATAATAAAACAAAGATGAATTTTGAAATTCATAATTATAAGAAAAAAAAATCAATATTTTAGCTTTTAGCACGATGTGTTGTATGCACGTGGTGGGTTTAAGAAATGAAGTCGTGGATTTAGTTCCTTCTCTAAACATCTTGATTTTTCTTAATATTAATATTTTGGAGGAGGGAGGGGAGGAAATGGGGATTTGAAATCAGTCCTCAAAATGTTACCCATGTATGAATTGAGTCCTTGAAGACATAAGTTGTAAGATGAGTCTTCAAATCATTTGTTATCCTCAATCCATCGGTTTAGGTTTATATATATATATATATATATATATAGAGAGAGAGAGAGAGAGAGAGCAATTGTTTTTTGTTTTTTTTTTGAAGGAAAGGATTATCTGAGGAATCACGAACCTGGTCCATCGTTCCAACGAAAACTGGGGCAGGCTTCTTCTGCTGCCCATCTATGTTAGAATGAGCAACACCACTACCTAACCTGCTTACCCAACACAAAATACAATAATGTCTCTGACTTCACTTTACCAAGCTGTAGACGTCTCTCCAGGTAAAATCACTCTTCAACAACAGCAATCTCTTTATTTCTTGACTTATCCTGTGTTTCCTGTCTTGCTATTCAAACCCTTTACCGTTTTCTCTTCCTTTGTTTCCAGGTAACGGGAATCAGGAACCCCTGTTGGCTGTTAACGTAGAAGCAGCGAAAGATGGGGCAGAAGCCAAGTTTAGGATACGAAATTTGACTAAGGTTTCTGATACTGGGGTGCCCATATTGAGTGGGATCAATATGGACATACCTAAAGGGATGATTGTGGGGATTATAGGCCCTAGTGGAAGTGGAAAGTCGACGGTTTTGAGGGCACTTAACAGATTGTGGGAACCACCTTGTGGGACCGTGTTTCTTGATGGTCATGATGTTAATGATCTTGATGTTCTCGGCCATCGCAGGAAAGTTGGGATGCTCTTTCAGCTTCCTGCTCTCTTTGATGGTTAGATTGATTTTTTATTTCTTTTTCTTACAGTTTCATTTTGACCCATTGGTTTATCAATCAAAACCTGCATAAATATGCTTGTCAATGTTTAATTCTTGCCTTTCCAAGCTCGGCCAGTGTTCTGAATTATCATTATAGTTAGTAAATTTCTTGTAATTGGTAGGGTGATTGAGTTAATAGTCCAGTGTAGATCAGCACAGAGGGTGGCATGTATTTTGGTATAGAGTGCTCCTTGAAATCCAGTCCCAAAATAGCACAGTGCTCTCCGTAGATTGTAGCTCAGGAAGTTTTTGGCCTTTTCGATTATGGAATCCTTAGAGAGTACTCTAAAGATCAGGTAGCATGCCATCATAATATTGATTGGCAGGCAAGACACTGGTTGTTGTCATCTGAAATTTTAAATAGCTACAAGTTTCTTAGCTACGTTATTGGATACTTCTCTGTAATATTATGATGGCAGGATGCCTGATTGTTGTAATATTTTGATTAATCCATATGCATGCCAGCTAAGTATTTCACTGTCATGCATTCAACCACCATCACGTGCCTTCGCCTAATGCGTTCCAAGTCCCGACACAATTTCTGGACTAGATTCGTGATGGAAATCACATTGATTCTTCCTTTGGGGTTGGGATGCAGCAGCTTCCCCCTGAAATTCCAGTTGTAGCAGCGGCAGCAGACGGCAGTAATAGCACTTTTTATCTTCTGTTGACTTGACGGATATATGCCTGGTACCTTAAAGAAATGCTATGTGATTTATAGCTAACTGACCATTGATTTAAATCTATTCAGGCACGGTTGCAGATAACATACGATATGGACCACTATTGAAGGGGAAGAAGCTTACTGATGACGAGGTTTACAAGTTGCTTTCGCTTGCAGACCTTGATTCTTCCTTCTACAAAAAGACTAGTAATGAGTTATCTGTCGGTCAAGCTCAAAGGGTTGCACTTGCTAGGACCCTAGCTAATCAACCAGAGGTAATGCCTATTGAAATGTGCAAAAACTCTTGGTTATGTTTTCATGCCTCCAAATTTTTTTCACGCACTTGCTAAACTGCTTTCAGTTGGCCAATATATGCTGTTCTTCTGATTATATTCTGTGTTTTGAAAGGTTTTGCTACTGGATGAGCCTACTAGTGCATTGGATCCGATTTCAACACAAAACATAGAGGAGGTTCTTGTAAAATTAAAGAAACAACGAGGCTTGACAGTTGTTATTGTCTCTCACAGCATCAAACAGATCCAGAGGATTGCTGATGTAGTTTGCCTACTTGTGAACGGAGAAATTGTTGAAGTTTTGAAACCTGATGACTTGTCTGAAGCCAAGCATCCCATGGCACTAAGGTTCCTTCAACTCGGTTCTTAAGACTTATTTCCCGATGCTTTAATTCAGGCGATTGCCCTAAAAATGATATCTAGCAATGCAAGTATCCTACTTCTTCCTTTTAATATACTGATGATCATGCCAGCACTATCAAAACATATTTCTATTAATTGTTTTGTGATGAATAATTTCTTACCAAGGCTACGGAATTCAGTTGAAAACATATACTAACAATAATTAACCTTACTGGAAATGCATAATCAACTGGGTTAAATCCTCGAGTCTGTTTTTCAACAGCAAGTGCTCTCTCATCATGGGATGCGTCATGGATTTCTTTTGTAGAGGAGAGTTTTGATGGTGCTATATAGATAGCCCATGGTCCAATAACACGACAATAAACTTTAGAATATGCGATCAAGAAAGAAAACTTAAAAAGAGTTTAGGATAAATTAATGACCAGATTATGAGACTCTGAACTGTAATAGTTTTGGTCAACAGTGTTCCTGTGAGAACAACTGTTACATAAAGCATGTTATCTCATTTCCATTTTACCGACGAGAATAAACTAAGAACATGCATATCTACCCCTCAATTGTTTCTGCATTTTCTTCTTCTGTGGTAATTATAGCTTGATTGAATGAAGTAAACAAAGTTGTAGTGGCAGTGGTTGTTTTGTTGTGAGACCAAAGGAAAGACCTCGAAGAAGGCATTTGGATTTTCGTGCTGGTGGGTTTGGAAGTAGAATTCACTAATGCTGCTGTTATTTTCTCTGGATTAGATTCAATGAACATACTCCACATTACTTCCACATCTCTATACCCACACATTTGTACATCATCTTGCAACTTCAACAAGCGACAAGCACTCCTACAAGCCTGCTTAATCATAAAGCATAGACATCAGCATTAGTTCTCCAAGTCCAACCACGTAGAACTTGGTATTCCCACCAAGAATCATCATGTGCTCAAGTAAGGCGCATCCCCATCTACATTGGGCTAGAGAAAAGAGCTTGTTGGTGTAGTTAAAGTAAAGAAACCGTGATAAGATGCAAAAACCAACCAGATTTGCGAAAGTTGAATCTTGAAGAAACAGCAAACCAAACTTTCCTCATCTTATGCCGCCAGTCCATGTTAGTCTGTTGTAGTCTTTTCCTCTCTATCGGAAGCTCATAAGAAGAAAACGGAGTTGAACAGTGGTTCACTTAAATAATACTCAATCCATTAGGAGGATGAGGGAAAGAGGTGAAAAGCACACGCGGCGAAAAGGGCAACAAAATCCATATCACGTTTCTTGATGACTGTGCCAGATGCTTAATCTTCTTGTCACACTCTAGAGTCCATAAAGAGTCAAGGAACATCCCCTTTTCCCATCCTTCGTGACTTCCAATTTTAACTTTTTTATTTCCCTTTTGGCTGTTCCCAGTGTTTTATTATTAACAATTAACTTAAACATGGGGAAGACATGTAGCATTGAAAAGTAATTTCACCACGTGTGTAACTTGAAAAAAACAAATTTCTTTGTTTTTTTCTTTCATTGTTTTTTTTTAATTTATATTTTAATATTATATTTATTTTTATTGAGTTATCTTTTAATATTATATTTATTTTTATTAGGTTATTTTTTAATATTATATTAAATATTTTTTTCTTACGTTAAAAGTTCTTGAAAAAACATATTTAAATTTAGTTTGATTTTTGGTTTTGGAGTGGATTTTTTAGGCTATATATAAGTTTATAACAATTTCTAAAATATTTTTTAGATATTTTGAGTTAAAAATATATTAAAAAATATTTTTTAAGGTAAAAAAATAAAAACTGATTTTCCAGCTACCATAATAATCAAAATTTAGACAACTTCAAATGACAAGTTTTCTAATTTTTTTTAAAATAATTAGGATAGGCAACATGTTATCTACCTCAAATGCAACAAAAAAAATATAAAGCCAAGTCACTTAAGCCTTAAATAAATGGGTTAAATGTGTTGGCTTGGTTTGTCAATGTTAGCGACGCCTAATTTTTTTTAAATTTTTTAAATTTATGCTTGTTTTATATATTTTTTTAAATTTTAATTTATTTGTATTTAGATTTAATATCTTATTTATTTATTTATTTAGATTTTTTTTAAAATGATAGTTATTTTTTGTTATGTATTTAATTTTTTTTTTAAAATTGCTTTTAAATTAAGTCGGTAAATTGACCTGCTGTGTTCTTCACTTGATTTTTTTTAAAACTTTCTAGGCCGGCAAATCCTCAGTATATGCGGAGTCCATTGTTAATGATTTACCATAATGTGTTTAACAAAGCACAACAACAATCATCAACATGATCACATTGTCAACTACATAATTGCTGACTCAGATGCTCGACCACAGACATTAAACCCATACCACACCCCATTTGGAAGGAATTTGTTGTTGTTGAATGTCACAGTCTTGGTATATGTATCGTAAATCTTCACACTCTCAGGTTTCCAGCCATCAGATCCTGTACTCAGCATGTATAGATAGCAAACATAATCCACACACGGTCCATTTATCTGGAATGAATCTGTTGAACACCTCTCAAATGTTCCTGAAGATGGATCGTCAAGTCTCTTGATATAGACCTCGAACAATTTATCAATCAAATTTAAAATACACAAAAATCAGATCAGACCCTTTATCTAGATTTATTTTCCTTTAATGGGTTCATTTTAGATTTTGAATGTCAAGATCTGTTGCCATGAAAATCTGATTAGACTAGAGACGCTTTGTTCTTGTTTTGCTGGAAACGACAAGAATATTGTTGGTTTCCTTGTATTTTTCTTACAAGTTTTTCGCTACTAAACAGACATGAACCCAAACCGGAAACATGTTCAAATCTTATATAGTAAACTAGGTTTCATACTAACCTCATTGCCATAAGAATCACCAAAAGCTACGCTGATTTTGTCTCTGGTGTAAGTTGTAGAGGAGCAACTGGTCTTTATAACAAGTTCGTATGGACAGCTCTTTGCAGCCTGAGATTTATGTGGGAAAAAGATATAGTATATGAAGAAAAAATAACAAATTTATGTACAGATTCTTTGAATTATGTGAATCAAAATCAGGTCAAAAGAAATGCTAACTTTGATAGCTTCATACCTGAATATTTTTGGGATAGAAGGATTTCAGAGCACGAGGCTGCAAGGTAGGCGAGATAGAGCTAGAATGTGGGAATGTTATGAAGGAGAAGACAGACGAGCCCAAATAGGGAGAGGCGTTTGACCATTTTGTCTCTGATACATCCCTCTTTGTAAGAGGGAGCTAAGAGTGGAGTTGCTTTATCTTATCAACTCTCCTACCATATATAAGGAGATAAGAAGAAAAGTAAACAAATGGCCCCATCATGAAAACAACTTTTTTAAAAAAACGTGCGAGGATCAGACCTGTTACAGTATCTTTTTCTTGTTAAATATATTACAAGGCTGCTAATTCAACATCTATCATGGCCTTTCTTGATTGGGAGTTGGGCAATAATTACGCGGCGAGGGCAATAATTCACCAGCCTGGAAACCATGTCCTTGTCAAAAGTATGATATGGAAATTATTGCCTTATGGATTGGTGAAGAGGGGAGTTAAGGCCAGCCTGAAGATAGTTTTCTTTACTTCTCCAGGCATCCACATCCAAGGTCTCTAGCCTGAAAATGATGTGCAATGTACCTCTCCAAATCCCAATGCAGCAGGCACAAGGTGTGGATTATTATAGCTGCACATGCATCCTAACAAGGTATGCATGAGCACTGAATTTGGAGAATCTAAATTCGAGGCTGAGAAAGAAAGCAAGGTATGGAGTGATTTGTTTTGCACAACAGAATGGGAAATAGACACGGAATCCAGATGCAGTATTCTTACTCTCTCACGCATACGCTCAGCCTTAAGGCTATGCGACAAAAACATGGATCTGGATCTGGGTTGTCACATGTTTAGTTCAGCAAACTGTTCTTCAGCATCATTGCTTTTCATCATGGAGGGCCTAGATGGTCTCCTGATATATACCTACGCATTGCATAGGCATAAGACAAACTTCAATATTGTTATCATTACGCCATCCTCATCTAAACCTCATGACCTTAAAGGTATGGAAACCAGTTCCCCCCCACCCCCAAAAACACCCCATTTACTCCATAATCAATGACTTAGAATTTATTCTATAACGCTCATGGCACAAAGACGTAAAAACAATATCTACAGCATTTCCACTACAGCTTGGCCAAATGATTGTCGAAAAGACGCAAAAACAATATCTACAGCATTTCCACACTACAGCTTGGCCAAATGATTGTCGAATTTATTTGTACATTGAATGAAGTTCTTTACACAGTAACATAAGTCAAATGATTTCATTGGAAGTAAAGTTACCACGGAAAAGAAACAACTTCAACATTTTAAGGCTTGCACCATAACGAAAGACTACAAGCAATTACAACATCATGATAATATTAGGCGAAGAATCTCCCCTGAATGCTTGAATGATTTCTCTGTTTCTTCCAAACAGTGGTCCTTCTCCTCTCTGGTCCAGCCCTGAGCAATCCCAAAAACTAACACATTATCTACCAGGTCATCGAACTCATAACAAAAAGTTCATAGAAGTAAAGTAAGATGGTCATATTGACATTTGACGGTTAAATTGTCAGGATCAACACAAGGTTTAAATTAGTGGTAAGAGATTAACAAGACAATTTTGTGGGACTAGCGAGAAAAAAACCTCTGAAACTTTATTCAACTTGTCCCTGACATTCTGCAACAGCTGGGAAAGGTCACCATCCCATTTATAGAATTCTAACTCCTTTTTGTTAAGTAACTGCTCAGCTACCTGATGTAAAACAAAATGGTAAATGTGAGTGTGTTACCTCATATACTAAGACAATTATCCATATTACCTAGCTGCTTTTCAAGACATATCTCAAAAATGAAAAGAGTTGAGCGCATTGAAAACTGTTGCCACTTGCCACTGCCAGTAGCAGGCATGCACTGGGTTAAATCTGCATAGCTGCTGCCAGACAACCTTTTTCCAAACCAGCCCATGATTCGCAATTCCTAATTCATTAGAAAACCCCTAATGTATTGCGTAAACATGGTGATTCTTGAGGTTAAAGAGAAGACACTTCAAGATTTACTTGCTTGCAAATATCAAATAGTACCAAACATCAAATCAACCCAACAGCTAAGCATGGAGCCACAAAAATAGCTCCACCCATGCAAAAATTATCATGTAGCATGAAAAAATACGGGCACTTCAGGTTAAATACTAATTGTTTACCTTCCTCCCAATCATTTGACCACCAGCAGAGTGAGCAAAATATATGTTGTAGAAATGACAAATAAATGCTTGAGGATCCTTCTCTGACAATTCCTGCAGAATTTGTGAATAGCTAACACCAGGAGAAGAAGGTTTGGGAATGTTATAGCCTTGTTCTTTGAACCACTCCAAATCTTTTGCCGACTTTTCAGACCTTTCCAGTCCAGTATTTCTGAATTCAGCATCTAAAGGAAAAGATAAAATGGGATTCAGGTCTTAAGCTCTGTCACAAGGTAAAAGTCAACACGCGTATAGCACCCCATGGTCTACAAAAATGTTCGTAAGTCACAAACGGTGCAAAAGGGAACTCGGGGATGCATTGGTGATAAAAACAAGAAAACCAAAACACCAGCAAAATGATCCCACCCCATGCACTATATAGACATGGAGTGGTAAATGTAAAAGTATGTATGAGGTTTGTGAATGATTATGATCATTTTAACCAAAAAAGACATTGAGCACCATCAGTTTCTCTTTCAAAATGCCATAACCCACTCTTAGCAGAATCACCTGTTTATCCAAGTACGGTAACCCACACCTCATACTAAAGGCAATTTATGAATTATGAAGTCAAAGTTCCACATCCATAACTACTAGTCCAAACCAATAAGCAAACCAAAAGACTATCAGTAACACAATCCTTCAAGCAACCCAAAAACAATCATCGAAACAAAACAAGACAACCATTGCCACACCCCAAAGATAAACAAATCCACCATTAAAAGCCAGGTAAACATATCATCAAATAAAGAAACTTAAAACAACAATCAAACTTACAAAAAGGAAAAGAAGCTTTTTCAACAATTTCTTCAAGGGTATCATAAACCAACTTGCTATCAACCAAAAACTTCAAGTAGCCATCAATAGAAGGCTCCCACTTACGGACAGCTTCTTCTTCTTTCTCCTTCACCTCCTTCTCCCCTTCCTTTGCTTGCTCCCTTGTATGCAACTTCATAGCCACAAACCTCATCTCCTCCACAAAACCTTTTGCCTCACCTGGATAACTCTTCTTAGGCTTCTCAACTGTTGTAGCAGCCACAACAGCAGTATTTTTCAAAGGCATTCTATCAAAGACTGGAACTTTCAATTGAAAACACAACCTTTTCGACACAAAACTTGATTGAAAACAAGTTTCAAGACGAGGAGATGAGGATTTGAGGAGGGGTTTGTTAAATAAAAACTGGGTTTGAGAGATTGGTGTAAGAGAAGCCATCTTTGTCTATAAATACTAGAAATTGACAGTTAAGCTAGAAAATTTGATGAAGAATGAAAGAGCTGTTTAAGAGAAGCCTTCTTTAACTAAAGTAGTTGGCGATAAAAGAAAGATGTTTTGCCTGCAACAAGCGGTTTAAGTACTCTTGAAGACAAAGGGACAGACACAGATATAGTAGTCTCTATCTTCCAGTCTGCGCGACTATAGCAGGTTGTCCAAATAAATGGAAAAGAGGAGAAATGAATAATAATGGATTATGGGTTTCCTCTCCTCTCCTTTACTGTTTCTTTTGGTCTATCTATGGAGTTTTATATACAGTATCGAAACTGAGACTAATATATGGTGTGGGGTAGTGTGTTTTTTTGAGACTTGTAATTGTAGTATTGATCATGATGCAGTAGGTTTATAAAGAAAAAATATTTTTTCTTAATTTTTAATTTAATTTAAAGAATTAAATTTAATAATTTTTTATTTTTTAATTTGTTTAAAATTTTTATTTTTATTTTATTTTTTTCAAGATTTTCTAATTTATTTAGATTAGTTTTCTAGTTTATTTAAAAGTTATAAACCTAGATTTCTTGAAAAAAAAAATATACACCAATAAAATTATTAATTAGAGTGTGATCCTTTTTTTGAAAACTTTGTTAACTTGTACCTTCTTTATATATATATATTACATGAGTTTTACTTTCAGTCATATTTTCTTAATGTTTATATATAGTGAAATTGATTTCTTCGATTTTTAAGCACTTATAATTGATTTTTATGAATGAAATCAAATCTATATTTGGAGCTGGAAAAACTTATAATTGACGGATTTGATTCTTGTTAATGCTTTTAAATTTATTATTTTAAGTTTCTAGTAGGGGAGGAAATACTGGATTAGCATCAAGCATGAGTTAATCACGTTTATTTTGTGATTGCCCTACTTGTACCTTTCACTCGGTGTCCTTCATTAAGAACTGAATATGTTATCCTATTTATTAAAAGTGTGAAAGAAATATATTGTATTTATTGTAGACATAGAATTATTGTAACATGGATAATACTATATCTTGTATTGTGGATAATCCTATCACCCGAAATATAAATGTTTATATATTTATATTGTGGATGATACTATAACTCATGAAAAGTGTTATTTGTATTATTTTTTAATTAAAAAAAATTGTTGGAAAAGTTGTATTTTTTATGTCAAAAGCTATTGAATTTGATCAAACCAAACTTTATTATTAGGTCTAGTTTAGAAACTAGACTCAAATCGCTTTTAAAAATGTTAAGTTTGGCTAGCTGATAAATAATTTTATTTTTTGTTTTTTTAAATTTTTTTATTTGATTTTTTTTCATATAGTAAAGAAAAAATTAATTAATGAAACTTTTTTATATTGCATAAATTCTGGCTGGACCGCTAGATTTTTTAATTTTTTAATTTTATTTTTTATCATATGATAAAAAAAAATTAATGAAACTTTTTTTATACTGTACAAAAATGAGGTGATGATAATTTTTTTTTTTCATTTGAGATTAAATTGGGTTCAATTTCTTTACTCTTAATATTAGATTCTACCTCCATACCTAATATCCTGCTGCCTAGCCAGACCCAATTTAATCTCCTTGGCTATCATATTCAATACCAAGGTTATCAAAGACATTTTTTTTACATATCACGAAAAATATAATATAAACTAGGATAGTAAACTTATAAAATTACAAGTAATTTTTTTAACTAATTATATATTGGTAATTATAATCAATAAATTAAATATCATTAAAATCTAATAAAATGAGTCAACAATATCATAATCAATGTGTTATTTAAATAAAATAAGAGGGATAGATAGTATGAATTAATAGATTAATGACATGAAAAAATAAAAAGTATCAAAATCAAATTTCTCAATACAAGAGAATTAGTAAAAAGTATAAAGCACACATAAATCTAGTGGCAACCTGATTGTTTTTATAACAATAAGTTTTGATAAAACAATTTTGAGTTGCAAGCTAATAAATTTAAATTAGTAATTAACTAACATAAATTCAATAATGAAATAAACTCCTAAACAATGTCTAATGTGCTAGAAAAAATTAAAATTAAAAATAATTAATAAAAAATAAATTAATAAAAAAAATAGAATAATAAAAAAAAATTCATGTTAAAATTCTTTCATATAACCTGAATGTTCAATTTTTGTATATTCTTAGCAAATTTGAGTTCTGATTTCAAACATGTTGTTCTCTCATGATTTCAAACATGTCATTCTCTCTCGTTTAAATGAATTATTAAGCCTACGATATATAGTTTGAAAGTTTTAAATATCTAGTTTCTATTCCAACTCTAATTAAAGTAAAATTCCACGGGTAGCTCTAGATATGTCCCAAATAATATATAAAAGCATTGTTTGATATATTTGACAATATTAGTTTACTAAGTTTAATTTTCTGAAATATTATATTTCCTAACTCTATTTGACCTGAAAACTTATCACAATATATTTTTATATATCTAGTATTTTCCTGTAAAATTTCAGCTTTATTCAATATACTGTTTAAAAGATCTGCTTAATTTCACAAAACTAGTCAATAGACATTTTAAGACCAAATTTGAATATAACTTGGTTCATATCACAAATTTAGTAAACTTGTAAAATCGGACCTGGTTTATAATATTTATCAATTTTGCACAAATTAAGTCTGATTTTATTGGTTTTGAGTTTTTAGTCCATTGTAGCATGTTAGATACACGTTGACTCGTTACAAATGAACTAGCGATTTTAATAATCTTATCCAATATTATTAGTTCTGGTTTTTTACGAGGCCCAACACTATTAGGTTACTTATATATGTATAAAACTAGAAATTATTTTCTCAATTAATTATTAGAAACCCATCATCACACTCACACACACACATATTACAGTAATTCCGCGTGCAGATTTTTATGTTGCAGCACTCCTTCGATTGATTAATTGAACTTTGAACAAGCTTTTCTAATCTCTCCATTTGTCCCAGTTTTCACGTCAATGCTACTCATTTTAACCATGGCTTGCCTGAACTCAACGTCAAACCTAAGTCCCAAAAGTCCTCTTATGGTGCCAGCATATTTTTTCACAACATCTCGTGTTGCAGCATCATCCCAAAGTCTCTGGTCAGACTCCAAAACTCCATTACCATCACGTACGTTCTCAAAAAAGCTTGTATCAAAATCTGTCTGGCTATCTTTATCTAATGGAACTGGTATTGTGCCATCACCATTGTTGGGACACAAGGCTCGAAGTTGTGATAGGAATGATTGGTTTATAGATGGATCTGCATTTCCTGTTGCTGTGAAATTATATAGGCGATACCGTATGAACTGGCAGTGTGTTTGGCCTAGGGTATGTGCTCCTGAAACAGAAACAAGTTACCGAATGCTAATATGAGGTAAATGGAGATACAGCTCCTCTATTTTCGTCGTCTCCAGTTCTTATGTTTCAAGAAAGTAAACGAATGCTAACTTGGAATGGGAAAGAAATAAATTTATACCAACGAGAGTTACGAGATCGTGATCGTCAAGGCCTTTATCAGCAAATTTTTGCTTCTGGACCGCAATGGAGTCTAGAGGAGAAGGTAAATATTTTGAGACTTGGGAGGATAAAGAGACTCTGCCATCTCTTCTACCTGTTGGGACTGACCAACTTGGACCATCACTCTGAGATTTGATAACAAACACACGACGCATAAGAATATATTTCTTGCTCTTAAATTTTATTCATGCATTGGAAATTGAGGGCGAAGAGATCATTTACCAAGTCCACAGCATCACGAGCAGCCAGTGCTAGTATATCAGCACACGAGACCACGCCAGGGCATGAGGCCTCTATCTGTGATTTGGCATCATCAATTACTTCAAACCCTCTTAATCCTAGATTTGGCAACGCATTTCTCTCAGCAGAAGACCGGCCTGCAATTAACACTGAACCATCACAGCCCTGTAAGAGATTAATGTTAGTTCATAGTACTGATCATTATCTTGCGTTTAAAATATGCTGAAGGATGGAGTGGAGAATAAATAGGTCAAGAACCTGAACAAAGCAGTCATGAAAATGAAGCCTGAGCAACCCTGCTGCAATGGTAGGATCTTTCTTGAAGTATGATTCAACTGTGGACCTAATTATGGCCTCGGCTTTCGGACATGAAGAAGAATAAAACCCTGTTTTCAATTGGCTTTCCACAGACAAAGCCATAACAAAAATCACCATGACAACCAGCCTTAACCCTTCCATTGTTCTATGACTTTCTCTCGTCTTGCTTAATTACAACTAGAATTTGCATAACATCATAGTATTTATAGCCATAATTAAATTGCTCAGTCCACTTCCCTTAATTGGTGTCCATTTCATTGAATTTTGGGCCGCTGAACCTTCTTTTGTTAGTGGAAACTCGTGACACCTTAGAAATAGTGGTGTGCTCTTTTTCATCACTCTTTGTTTGCAGGAGCAGAGTGGAAGATGCATAATTTCGTTTTTTTAACTTAACCATTTGGACAACTCCACAGATTTTTCCCTTGATTTGTTATCACCTTGAACACACACTCACACACATGTATTATCTAATTGCTTAATTTCTTTGGATTGACATATCAATTAACCTATGATTATCTTGTTTTATTTTTGTTAGGATAGGCTAGTGGCCAGCAGTATAATTTCCATTTTTGCTTAGAAGGTACCCTACCATCATATACAAATTTATATGTTCCATGAATCCTACATGCCTTATGAGGTAGAATATATTTGAATAATATTTTTTTATGTTAAAGAATGATATAAATTATATTTTAAAATCTTATTTAACAATTTAAGTTTTTAAATTGAATTGGTTCTTTAACATAGTATCAGTGTCTTAATGCCTAAAAAGCCTATTTAGAAGTATGATTATGGTTATTTTTCAAAAAAAAATTTCATGTCAGAATGTATAAAATAATATTTTTTATTTTTAAAAATTTATTTTTAAAATCAGTCTATCAAAACAATCCAAAACATCAAAAAAATTATTTTTTTATAAAAAAAATAAATTTCACCATGTTTTCAAATATTCTTTAAGCGCTCATGAGTTTAAATTTCACCATTTATATTTATTTAATAAAAAGATTAAGCATAAAATAGTTTGTATGGATCTATGTAAATTTTGAGCTTAAAAAGTTTCCATTTAATAAAATAAATGTATTAAAAATTAATATAAATTATATCTTATGTCATAACTTAAACTTTTAAATTAAATTAATTATTAAGGAAATCAAAATTTGTATTTCTTTAATACGTGGAAATCACCTAATACTACCCCCTTCAAATCATTTGGTGCAAGCATTTAGTGACAATAAAATTGATGGGCAAAAAGACAACAAATTGGCAAAAACAGAGTGAAAAATAAGGGTTTTGTTCTAGCATGAACTCAAAAAAAGATACAAAATGTCGCAAACCTAATTTATTGTCACAATGACAAGAATGCAAATGCACAATTATACTTGAATTTCATTGATGAAGCTTCCAATCATGCACAGATCCAAAACCCATTCACCCAAGCAAAGGAGAAGCCTTACGCCCAACTCTGGCTATCATAGCCTGTTTCCAAAGGAACCCAACAAAAGCAACTGCGCCGGCCTCAGCACAAGGCTGGGCCAGGCAGAATCTCAACCCCTCTACCTCTCTGTTTTATTTTCTTTTTTTTCCCAAAGACCCGACTCTAGGAATAATTCAGAAAAAAACCTTAGATCACTGAATTACTGGGCAGTCTATAGGTTGTTAGATCAACCCAGATCAAATATTTTAACTAAAACAAGAATGTTTTATTTTTTGTTATTGTTCTTGGTTGTTAATTCGACGGGTTTGATACCAAAAAGTCACTCAATGACCTTCTTTAAGGGAATTATCTATCTTACCGTTTCACTGTTTCAGATTTTCAGAGCACAATATAATAGTTAAAAATAAAAATAAAAAAGAATACCATCGACTCCTATATCTATTTACATGATTTCCTCTAAACTATAGTATTTCATTCAAATTGTCGCTTTCAAGCTCTCTTTTTTTTTTCAACTGAAAAGTAAAGTACCACTATCTCTTATGGTATAGAAAGGAGAGGGCTTGGTATAAGTTAGATTGTTCATCCTGCATTTCAAAGTTTTTTAAAAATTATTTTTCACTTGATAAAATATCAAATTTATATATTTTTACATGTTTGTTTAATGATTTTGACGTGTTCACATTAAAAAATAAAAAATATCATCTTGATGTATTTTTTATTGAAAAATATTTTTTCAAAAACACCTTGCACCACTGATGATATATCAAGAAAACTCAAGTAGCTTATGAGTAAGGTTTATGTATTGGATAATTGATTAATCACTTGATTCTAGCATTCTGAGTATTTCTTTTTAACCAATATGACTGATAAGTTGTACTTAGTGTCTGGTTAACCAAGGTAGCTGATAGCTAATACTTGTAAAAATAAATATCTTTTTAAAAAGAGAAAATATAATGATATTTTATAAAAATAAACTCTAGAAATATATGTATATTAAAAATATTGCAAATGAAGATATTGTAAACCATTTACCTGAATGGTTTTGAGGGTATTTATAGCCTCTAAACCTTATCCTTTTGCTGGAGTGGAGAGGTTGAAGTGTCATTTCATCCTTATAAATCAATTTTATATTGCAAGTTGTATTCTACTCATTTTATTTAGCTAAGAGACAGATACATGATGGGTCATGAAAGATCTTAATACACTTAATGATTTTGGTGGAGTATAGACTTGTTTAATCAAGTCTATTTCTTAAAATTTAAGACTCATGTAAAATTCGTGAGGGTCTAATGTTAGATTTAGGCATTATATTTACATATATGGAATAGTGATCTGGCCATACATTAGACTTAGGAGAACATGGAGCCCCCAACCACACCCAAGGTAAGATGGCAAAAAACCTTGGGCTCGACACCTATGCGAGGTGTGTGCAAGCCAGGCTATTAGGCCTGACAGCACCTATTAGCATTTGTCAAACCTAGCAATGTCTGGGCTTATCAGTATGACAGCCCTAGCATGTCTATGTTAGGGCATGTGTTGGGGTTATTTCATGCTAGCTCAATACACTTGAGAGTTTGAAAAGTTTATTCCTGAATATTCTTGATTTTGCACTTTTAGAAAAATATAAATAAATTTACTTATAAAAACTTGGTTTATCAATCAACTTCCAAACACATAATTGGTATCTTAATGCCAACTTCTCAAAGTTCAATTTCTCACTTTCCATATGCCAAGTCTAATTTAGTAGTTGGTGTTTATTTTAGAGCAACGAATGCAAGAAGATGCTTTGTCAGTGGATTTGCCTTCGTCCTTTCTTCTCTTTTAGTTTCTTTTTATTTTTAATCAAAGGAGAGACAATTTCTAGAGTTGTATTTTGCAAAACTATCATCTCATAAGATTTGTCTCATCAAAGAAGTTATTGACTATGTCATTTTAACCACTCAATCACTTTCCCATTCCTGTGCTAGATCGACTAGTGAAAGGAGAGTCGAACCTCTTGAAAGGTTTGCTGGATCCGAAAAAAAATCTGGTAGATATCTTATCCAATTCAAATAAAAACCTAATTCGAATTAGATTTCAGTTCCTAAATTTTCCAAGTCAACCTATCAATTCTAACCAAGTTTAATAATTGTTATTGTATATACTTTTTAATGCAAGGTGTTATAATGTATTATCTGGTTATAATATTATGTTAAATATTGTCTTTTAAGACTATAAACACTTTAAGAGAGTGCTTCGTTATGATGTTTTTTTTACATCTATAACTTCATCATCCAAGTACTTTTAGACATTTTTGCTCTCATCACTAGAAGACCTACATTTTCAAATACAAATATTTCTTGGCATTATCATTTTAAACCTCTTTTATGCTATGATTCTATCTTCCTTAGCAGCTGCATGTCATAGACAAAAGAAATATTTGTAATTACTAAATTGATTAGTTAAAATTAAGCTTTGGTAAGTTTGAAACATATAAAAGAAAGAAGGATTACACAAGTTAGTTTTGTATTTAAATCAATTTGCTTAAATCAATAGCAATTTAGAAAGTAACAAAAAGTTACTGAAAAAATTGAATTTCTTAAATGTTTATATATTTAAAAAATATTCGGAGGATATTGAATATAACAAAAAAAAAGAACCATAGCTTGAGAGCTATTGAGATAAATTATATATTAAAATTTTATTTAACTTAAGTTATTGAGTTAGATAATTTTTTAATATAATATCAGTCTTGTTAATTAAATGATCATAAATTCAAATCTTACAATCTCATTTTATTTGATAAAAAATTAAACATAAAATATTATAAAATTATACAAGTTTTAAACCCAATGAATTTTTACTCGAGAAATCTACTAGCTTTAATTTAAAAAATAATAATTTTGAAGGTTTAGTTTAGATAATAACATAGTTATTAAATATGACATCCAATTTGGATCATGGATTAAGTACGATAACCAAAAAAAATTTCTTTTAAAAAAAAATAAAACAATATCATTTAAAAAATTATAAAAAAAAAAGTTAATAAATTTTTAACAAGTCACAAAAATTTAGATTTTTAATAGAATTACATTAAGATGGGATCAACTCTTACATTTATAAATATAATAAAACCGAATCCAGATCAATTTCTAAGTCGATTAAGTCATGAGCTGACCCTCAAACCTAATTTATAGGACACACCTTGTACACAAACACATCTCTACGAGCTAGATTTGTTTATAATATTATCATTTAGGTTTTCAAATTTAGGAAAAGGTGTAAAAAGATATAATATTTTGGTTCAAATATGAAAAGACCTTTTTAAAAATTCGATCAGTAATGTGAGATAATCATAGAAAAGCAAGCCAAACAATTAGGTTCATTATCATGGTTGAAGAAATGTGAAGCACAAAAACACAACCAAACTCAGAAGACGGTGAACAGAAATATGAGAGGGGCAAAGGTTTCGGCTGTACATACTTGTGCTTAGAAGATTCATTAATTAATTAACATCTTAATATGTGTTAGTATCGTAGATATGCATAATCCATGCATGAAAGGTCACTTGAAAGAGATTTTCTTTTAGAAGGAAATTTTGCAGAATAGAGTGGGGCAAGCCTACAATCCCCCAGAATCCTGCTACTTGGCTTCTTGTTCAAGTATAGGAACCTTTTTCCAAGCATCCTCCAATCCGCTTATCTGAAGTGGTGGCAATGAGAAAACACTAACAGTGGAGCTCTTGCTTCGAATTTCCTTTAGAACCCGCAGTGCAGATATGGTGCTCTTCATAGATGAACTCTCCATAAGTTCAATCTCTGCAAGTTCCCTTGGGAATCTGAGTAGGCCATCATTTGTGGTGGTTGACGAGGTCGAAGGATCGCCACACAAGTCATCATCCCCATCGCTCAATGGAAGGAGGCCGTCGAGCATTGCCTCGCACTCTTTAACGAGCTTGTAGAGCAGATCGGTGGTGAAAAAAGGCTGTTGCAACACCCTCTGGATGAAGGGCAAGCGAATGAGAGCACCAGTTCTTTTATCATATTTCTTCAGTATTTTTACCAATCCTGTTGAAAACAAGCAAAGATTAACCATGATTGTTTTGTGGCAATATAATTAAACAAATGCAATAACTTAATTACAGTAGTTATGAATGTTAGTACCAGTATAGTTCAGAGCACTATAATTCTCCAGCAAAACCATCTCTCCGTGGAAATCTACAATCTCCTTCCTAATTTTTATCATCTCTTCATTGGAATTGATTGCCTTTGCCACACTATCTTGCAACTCCTGCATCACAATCACAAATCTTCAATTTTCCTAGTAAATGGGCAGATTGTATCTTTACTTAACAGATCTCAAATACCTAGGACACTTTAGCATCTTATTCCTTTGAAACGGAAGTCAACAAAGTATAAAGTGAACTCAAGTTTATTATTCTGAACAATCTCTACCCACCATCCCAAATAAATAGGACCCACAGACTTGAAAAACAAACCTCAACTCATGGTCATAAGACGCAACCCAGGACCAAGTCATGGCATGGGCAGCCAACGCATCAGTGACATGACTCGGGTTTTGATTTTTAAAAAAAACAATAAATTAAAACAGCGTTGTTTTAGTTTTTTTAAAAAAAAGATTAGACATGAAAATCCCGGATTGACCTGGCAGGGTGAGTTTTATATTCATGCCTCAACTAGACCATGTTAATAATCTATTTAAAATCCCTAAACCATGTCATGGCTTGAAAATCTAGCTTAAAATGCAAATCCACACCTTTCTTCTTATTATCTTCAATTAACGTCTCCTGGCATCAATATATATATATATATATAGCACATCACAGGAAAACACAATAGAATGATTTCCATCAATTCAACACAAGAAGACAACTTCCAGCCATTCAAGTTACTTTCATGGGAAAATAAAAGTTATAGACTCATAAAATATCTCCTTGCACTTGCATTTCACCACAAATAATAATATGTGGTGTGTGATAAATTCTTCCAAATTTTAATCATCACAAATATAATATCAAAATTCATTAGTTGAAATATATTTTCTTATAAAAATCACCTCAAGATCACAAAAAAATAACCCACCTCAACACACCCGCTTGACCACACAAATGACCCCGTAAACCATCTAATAATCTTATTGATGCAATAATTAGCATTCGATGCTTCATCTATTCTTAGGCAGATCGTCAGCATCTAAATTAATGCATTCATGAACCATTAGTTATGAACTTCTGATACCAAAAACCCATACGGGCCCTAATAATTTTCAGTGGTTGACATTATTTTCATATATATATAAGTAGATGCTTCCACAGAATATACCAAAGCATAGTTGCCTGCTTCCTACAACCACGTTTAAGGGGTTGCGTGCCAGTTGTCTATCCCAAACACACCTGGCAACTAACGGTTTTAACTGTCCGTTACAGTAAAAGCATCCAACAGCGAAAAACGACACCGTTTCATCAAGGAACGCCGTCACATTAACTCATTCCAGGTTAACAATTTCATTTTTTCTCATCAACTCCAACAACTAAAGATTTTCTCGGAAACAAAACAAGATCGTAAAGGAAAAACTGAAAAACAAAAAAAATACCTTTAATCTGATGATGTACTCTTCTTCTTTCTCAACAAAAAAGCTGTTGAATTTCTCAAGCTCATCATCTAACAGCTTAATAAAATCAATCTCTTCTTTTGTCATGCTTCCTTCATTGCAATCTCCTCTACCGCCTTCTGCGGCAGCGAATCTTGGCTTTTTCAGCGGCCGGGGGTCTCCATTGTTCTTGGTTGTGCTGTTGTTGTTGTTTGGCTCGATGAGTTTCAATCTTTTCTTGAGTTCTTTGTAAGAGAGAAACTTGTCTCTCCATTCAGGTAATGTTTCTTCAATCTGGTTGCTCAAGCTTTTTCCGAATTTCATTTTGAGAGGGGGTGCTTGGTTGCTGAGAAAATGGGAGAGGGTGAGGGAGAGTGTGGGAGAATACGAGGATGTGGAGGAGGGGGGGAGATATAACGGTAAAGAGAAGAATATTCGAAGGGTTTGGAATATCCAATTTTGCGTCCATTTCATCAAAGGGTATATCTCCGGTTTTATTCCCTTGATAGAGACAAGAACAGTAGATTTTATTGTTTATTTATGTGTACATTTTGTGACTTACGTTTTGGTCCCTGCCTTTTATATTTGTGTTTTTTAATCCTTTTTTGTTTTAATTTTCCCAATACTAACTCTACAATTTTTCAAAATATTCATTTCAGTCCTCTACCTTTGAATTTCTAATGAAAAGTAATGGTAGATCAACATTTTTAATCCTTTCTTCTTCTTCTTTTTTTAATTTCCTCCCAAATTCTCTTTGAATTATCAAATTCATCTGACCCAGTAACCCGTAAATCTAAGATCTAACTTAGTTTATATTTAATTTTGTGTTGACCCGTTCAAATCTTTATAAAACTTAATCAATTTTTTATTAATTTAAAATAATATTATTTTAGTTTTTAAAAAACTTTATCTAACCTGAATTATGGATTGAGCTGAATCATATAACTAAGGATACATGATGGAGTTCCGAACCTTATTTTTATCTTATTGTTAAGTATATTATTTTTAATTAAATAATAAAATTGTTAAATTATTTTTAAAAAACATGATCCTTCTTCTCATAATACTAATATTTATTATATTATTTATGTAAAATGTATATGTTAAAATAAATACAAAACGTATAATGGATAAAAAATATGGAAAATATTAAGAGGTTAAGTAGGTGATAAGCAAGATTATTTCGATCTTTAACTTCTTGAATTCAAACTTTTAGACCATAATATAAAAAATTAAATTAAGTTTATTTGACTGTGCCAGCAAATGTATCTTTAAAATTATTTTTTAAGAAAATTATTCTTGATTATTACAAATTACAACCAGATAAGTCGAGTAATTTAGCTAATTTATGAGGGCTGAAGTTAATCCAGTCTCCCTGCCCCACACTTCAGACTTCACAGTAGTCTCTTTGAATACAAAAGGGAAAAGGAAATTAAATAACATCAAATTAAAAAAAAAAAAAAAAAACTAAAAGTGGCCAGAGAGCAGAGACCATGCCCAGCCGTTTGGAAACTCACGGTGTTTTATTTAAAAAGAAAATGATTTTTATATTTTTAAATTATTTTAATATATTAATATTAAAAATTAAATTTTTAATTATTATTTTAATAAATTTCTACTCTAATGCAGAACACCACCGAGGCATCATGAGCCAAACCTAAAGAAATTTCTTCATTAACGAGGCAAGGTATAATTCCAAGGCATTAGAGAATATCCATGCCCTATTGATGGATATCTACTACCTATCAGTATTATTCTTTATTAAGGTCGGAAAATAAAGCCAAAAGCATGCTGGCCCCAATCACTGCAAAACTGCCACTTCTACTGTATATCGTGTTTTCGAAGGAAAAAGATGTCTGATGTATACTAGATTTTTAGTTGAAATAGTTAAAGAATGATGTATTTAACCCACGCCATGTAAATGCATTAGCATTATTAATTTTAAAAAAAATAAAATTACGTGAGAATTAACTTGTTGTAATACGATGAATTTGATAGATTTAAAAGAAATATAAATAGCCAATAAAAATATAATTTGATTTAAAATAAATATTAAAAATAATTTTTTTTTAAATATTTAAAAAGAAATATATAAGATCAATTCATATCAGCCTAAATTAATATGTCAATTTACATACTAAATTTGAGATCATAATAATCTTATAGAAAATAATAAATTATAAAATTTAATTTTAAATAAAATTAAAATTAAAAAATAAAATTAAAAAAATAATTCAATAAAAAAATAAAAATAATAACTCGAGTCCATCTGAGTTAACCTGATAAATTTATAATTTGAATCATGAAATCAGGATAATTCAATAAAAAGTAAATCAAAAAAAATTATAAAGTTTAGTTATCAATCAATTTAGAGTTACAAAATGAAATTGAAAAAATATTTAATTAAAAATATAATATAAAAAATAACTTGAGTCAAATAAATATTATTATAATAAACAGTAATCACCTATAAATTAATACAATAACCTATATGCATTTCAGGATAGGGTGAGCAAAAATGTTGGGAAACTCCGAGGAATTAAGAGGTGAATTTCACACTAACTTTCTTGATAGCTGGGACTGTGTTTTTTTTTAATTCCAGTCGATGTATATCCTCACATAAAACAGGATAACTTTAACATTGAAAGCAGAAAGTATATCGTAAAACCACAAAATAATCGGATGTAAAACACATATGCTTTTAAAGAAAAAGTTCATGGTGGGATGCATACTTTATTTATAAAAAACAATACTTACAATTTTTTTAAAAAACCAACAACACTCAATTATCAAAAAATAACTTTATTGATTATAATTTCAACTCACATCACAGTATAACATAACATAATAATTGAATTATATCACTATAGAATGATATAAGTCATGTTCATACATTTTTTTATTTGATATTACGGTTCTAATATTATTTAAAATCTTTATTTAACATCAATTTAATATTTTTAAAAAAATATTATAAAATACATAATGTCACGATAAGACTGAAAATGATATTTTTGGTTGAATTGATCTTATTCTTGATGGTCTCCCTAACCCACAACCTAGGGATATATATATATATATATATATATATATGTCAGAGGTGGAATTCGGATCTTTTTATGGGATATCCCTCGATTAGGATGTACTCTTTGGTCATTTCCCTCTAATTTTCATACCTGAAAAAGGAGGAAAAAAAAATTATTGTGATCGATGTCTCTTCTAGCTGAAAAATCCCAATACTAAAGGAAATTATAAGCAAAGGAAAGCACAAAAAAACCAAAATAGGTAGGGAACTAACTCAATTATAATCGAGAAAGTTATTCATTTTAAATGATTTTAAGAATAATTCAACGATGTGAAATGAGATGGATTTTTTTTTGGATGATTTGAGTTTGAAACAAATATTGTGGCTTTTTAAAATAAAATCTTCTCATCACCTGCTTGTTCACTGATTTAATGCTTTAAAAACTATTCTCTCTCTCTCTCTCTCTCTCATTCATTTGAATTAACTGATCATTGATTCACTTGATAATTTTATTTATTATTTTTTTCAACTTAGACAAGTTTTTCCTACATGCAATGATTTCTATTGAGAAATTGTTTATATATATATATATAGGCATATTGTGAATTTAGTAGTCAGTCTCATACAAAAAGCAAAATGAATAAATATACAACCAATGAAACAAATGTTGTTTTTTTTAATGTATGTTATTTTACACTAACATTTTACATATGATCATTGATGCAGCCGAGACTGAGATTTTTAAGTTAAAATTTTAGTGGTTATATCGGGATTTGCCTGAAAATTATATAAATAATCTAGTAAATATTGCCATGGATTGATAGTATAGGTTTAAATTCAAGAGAAAATACAGTTGTATCAAACCAAAGTAATGATTTAATTAAAATGAAGATAACTTTGATCATTGAATCATATTCAACTTTTTCCGGGATATTCTACACAAGTTATTTTTTGTGGGTAGCCATCACGTTGCTATTCACACCATGCAATTAGCCACAAGAGTTATTGATCGAGTCAATTTAGTATTTTTTTTTAATTTTATTTTATCCCAAATCAGTAGATCTTCAATCTTGATGTGATTTTTTGTTGCTTTTATGATGCTTTAACCTGCATCAATCAGTGAAATATCCAACTTTAATTCTCTCTGTTTTTTTTTTTTTCACCATGCATGTCACTTCATTGTGAAAGCTTCGACGTATTTATAAAATGATGAGATGCCTAAAAGGATGAAAGCATCGGCATATTCTTTCTTGGGTGCCTTTGTGCTCCCTAAAAACCTTATCTTGGGAGATGGCGGTCCATCCCTTCAACCCCCTCTATTATTTTATCTTTAATGATAATCTCTCTCTCGACAGGCAGCTTGGGCCCGACCTAGCTGAGAATTGAGACTCTAGCAGTCCTCAATTAATTGTTGTTTTCTCCCTGCACATTCTTTGTTCAAATTTGGTTCATTCCACTGTTGTTGAAACATATCTAGCCACTAGATAATCATGTTATTGGTTTAACTAGTGAATCATTAATTAATCAGTGAAATATCTATTTATCTCTTTCAAAACAAAACTATATAATTGAAAATAATATAAAAAATTGTATGGAAAAGACCCAAATAGCCCTCATCGTGGATTTTGCTTTTGAAAAATATAAGGGCAATGAGGTTATTTAACTGTGTATAAGACGGAGAAAAATACTAAAATGCTCTTATTCCCAGTTTTATTTTTTTAACATCAGCATGTTTGTTATTACACTGTTCATGAAAAATTTAAAAATATTTATTTAACCTATGACAATGACAAATAAATCCTATGAATTCAAATGTGTGTTTGGAATTATAGTAGATATGATGGTTTTAAGTGTATTTTTTTTTAAAATACATTAAAATAAAACAATTTTAAAACATAAAAAAAATATTTTAAAAAACAACTATAATTACATTTTAAATATACAGATAACTCTTATAAATAATATGTTTGTCTTGATATTTAAGTTTAGAACATTAATAAAAAAAATCGTTTCTCTTATGTCAAACTACTTCTATGATATCTGAGTTTATATATATGCATGTCATGCTAAAACCTTGCTATTTTCATATGGAGTTGGGAGATATTTCTTGCGGCATAAATGTTTTGTTTAAGCCTTCCTTCTCTTTGTTTTGGAAAAGATAAAAACAAAGGATAGATATGCTTTAATAAGTTTTTTTTTTTAAACCAAAATCAGCGCATGGAGCCCTCAAAGCTCCCTCTCAAGCTAGCAGTAGGGTATACCTTCAGGCAATATATACATAGTTTATTAGTCCGTTCAAGAACATATTGTAGGACCATAAAAAAAGATAAGAGCGGCAGATAATTGTTCAGATCATGAGTCCATTCAATAATATATCCTGAGACCTTTAAGAAAAAGAGAAGCATGCTGTTGAAAT